TCACGTAATTTACGTCTCTGTGATGATTGGTTGATATCAGAAGGGAGGCTAGCCTCCCTTACGAGGTTTCTTTTCTCAACACTCCTCAGCGCTGAAAGTGAACACTCAATGGTGATTGGCTAATTTTTTTTTACCAACGGAGGCACGAGAGCTAACCTCTCCCCCGGCCTCCCCCTACCCTTCTATATCACCTTGCGGTTGTAATTACACCAGCAGATTCGGCACATTCGCGATAGAAAAGTGGAGCTTTCACGTTATGGTATTACAACTGTGAAATTACAAACAAAAAAATACACATTCTGAGACATACAGCACTTTTTTAAAACTAAATTTCAATATCGTGATAATACCGCATTCTGTGATAAAAGCATTAGCAATTAATCGCAACATGAAAAATTGATACCGGCATATCCCTACAGTCATATAACCCCAAAAAAAAGTGTCATAAATCAGCACAAGGCAAATAACTTGCTTGCTTTAACAAACTTCACTTGCTTCAAGGCACTTTCCATGAATAAGGTTCAAATTAGGAGCTCACACTCTTACAAGATCACTGAAGGATGTGTATAACCTTCATAAAAAAAATAGTTCATAACCTTCATAAAATGTTGATTATCAACCTGATTAAATTAAAAACTAAATATTAAATGAATGTTTCATTTTCTATTTATTTTATATGAGGTAGGGCTGGGCGATAAATAGATAACGATAATTATTGCGCAATATAAATTTCCTCGATAAACTATAACAAGAGGTCGATACATTTGATTATCATGATCTAAATGTATGCTACTATGGAAGACCAGCGGTTAATTAAAAAAAAAACTCAAACAGTCAGAATAATTACATTTCACCATATAAAAATGAGGTTCCTACAATACTCTACAGATATTACTGATTTTGATAATGAACATAAATCTACATCTGCATCCTACCTTAAGCTACTATTAAATGTGTATTTCTAAGAGACAAAAATGTTTTATATTATTATTAATATTATCAGGCAACGCAAACCTGTTTCTTGATTTGAAACAATATTACTTATTAGAATGTGCAGAACTAAGAAATTATTTTTTTCTATTAAGATATTTATTTTGTTAAGGAAAAATGACTGGGAAAGTGTAAAGAATTCAAAAACGTGAAGTGTTTGTTGGGTTCTGACCATAAGGAATAGTTTAAAACCACAATTAATTGTCTGGTTTTTACAACTTTCACACTGGAGCAAAAATCTGCCTTTAAACTTGAAAGAAATAAAAATTTGACATTTATCGTGATAATTATCGATATTGACTGATATGAAAAACATTATCGTGATCATTTTTTGGCCATATCGCCCAGCCCTAATATGAGGTCTGCAATTTTTGCAACCCTTTCATTAAAATTTGTGACATACATGCATACAGACATTTATTTTCAAGCAACTAAAACTAACAATCAAATTTAAAAAGACAAGCTTATAAAACTATAAAATGGGTAATAGGATTGTAAACGTGGGCATAAGCTGCCACTCAGAGGGTGCTAGTTTACGAACCAAATGTTGGTCCGAAAAAGGTAATCATGTCATCTTAAAATAAAATGGTTGAATTAGTAAGCACGATGAATAGTGTCAACAGAAGATTGTTTTGTGCAGAAATTGAGAAAATGGAATTAGATTATATAGATCTCATGCTCCAAATTATGCAAATTTCTGGGTTTCACAATTATATTTTTTGTGCGTAAAGTGTCTTAAAAATCAGCTTTTTGGCAGCTATTATTAGTGTGAAATTCACTCATTTCTGTTCACTCTCTGAGACATATTCAGATTTCAATGGCTTGAAAATTTAGGATTTTTACCTCTCATTTAGTCAAGGATTTGCCAACATAACCTTTGAGTTTGTTGGGGGGGTCTGGAAAGGGCTGTTCTGAGGCGGATCTGGATTCTACATTTCACACATACCTGAGGTTCTGTGTGCAGATGAATGTGTGTTCCTCTGTGCTCTGATAAAGACCTCTTCGCCACCCTGCGGTGCCTGAAGTGATAATAATCTCCAAATACCTGAGGGGAAAAACACAAGGCTACATTTAGCTCACCACATCCTACAGATTTCTTTAAAAAAAGAGAGAAAGGCTGGTAAGTAAAACATTTCAACTTTGTGTGCGTGTGTGTGTGTGCATATTACACAAACATGCACCTACTCATACCATTTCTTTTCCTTCAGTTTTTATTTTTATTTTTTATATTAATTATGAATTCATTTCTATGTTTGCTCACAATTTGCTAGTCTATGCTGTAACAACATTTAAATTAAAGCAAATGAGACTCCATTGGAGATCATGGTTACGGAGCCCAGCTGTGGACCCAGGCATGACCTTAAAGATACAGATGGAAAAAATATTGACAGAAAGAGAAACACAGACAGCTGTGCATGTCCAACAGCCTCAAGTACACGTAACACTGAAGGAGTCAATCTCCTGTCAACCAACTGCACAATCACACATGACAAGATCACCCAGAGGACCAGAGGCACCGATTTCTCTCTTCGGTTGATGAAAGCTAAATGTCTGGAGTGAGCTAGAGTTCATGCGGTCACGCTATAGATTCAGACTATAGAAAGGCAAAGATCTAGCAGACATCAAAACAGCTGTAGAGCAAGACACATGCTCATTCACAAGACCAGAAACATTAATTTTACCAACAGGTTTAAAGAAGCCTTCAGTTAATTAACCAGCAGTAAAATAAATACAGACCAACCCAAAGCTGAACTACATTTTTAAGCTTTAAATTCAAAGGTACAAAACACATTTTTCACAAGGCTCACTGTAACAAAGCCATTCTTTTTTCGAAGAGTGGTAACATGTAATAGGAACCCCTGTCGGGAAAGATCGAGGACAACAGCTCTACATTTATTCTTCCATGACGTCCTCAGTATACAGGCCGGATTACAGCATGTTGATGCAAATATCTCCACCCAAACAAAGCCAGTGAGGCAATAAGCCCTTCACAAACAAATTTGACAACGGGCGACCCTGTAAATACCATAATAAACACTAAAAGCTTCAAACACAGAAGGTTAAAAATAAAAACCTTAAAGCAAAGATCCAAAGAGATGGCAGACTGAAGAAGAGATGATACATTTATTGAACTGCTAGCGAGAGACTGGCAAGTTTCGCGGTTAACGCGAGAACAATAATGACAGAAATCACACAAGAATCGATCGTAAGGAGAGATAGCAAAAGAGGGATGGGTAATAAACCCATTCAGAGCTCTGAGAGCTATGTTAGTCACAAAGGGAAATAGACTGAGGATGGGTATGGGTGTATTGTGTAAGATAAGAGAGCCCTAAAAAGATGAGCATCAATCTCAGACAGGCCTGAATCCAGCGGATCCAGGGCACAAGGGAGCGCAGATGGAGATATGCAGGCCTTGTCATATCAGACCACCATCAGACAACCATCTCAACTGCCTGGAAACATGCGAGAGGAAAGGCATATGGAGAAGAAGAAAAAACTTATATCTACACTAAAACTTATCCACATCTGAAAATTATATCAGTGCTGGTTAAACAGTTGGCATGCCTTTGCAAAATATGTTCCTTATGTCTGGAAGCAACCTACACATCCCAACTCTACTCTTCAGAGCAGAATACATCAGAATAAATATTTGTAATTAACTTTAATTACCAAAAACATAACAGTTAGTTGTGCCCCACCATTCGCATGCAACCCTGCATGATTTGCTTTTTTAAAAGACTTAACACGAATGGGCCACAGATTGGTGTCCCATTACTTTTAAAGCAATAGAGGCACATGTTTTGTAGTGAGCACTAACAGACAAATTATTATTTAACTAAATTATTCCAACATGAAAATCAGCTAGTTTTGAACACATCAAGCAGCTTACAAAAGGTTTTTGTAAGAAAAATTATAAAGCTATAAAAATCAGTTTGTGTGAAATTTATTTAATTTTCAAAATTAACTAAAAATCAATATTTACTGACTGAAAGCTTAATTTAAGTGAAATCTGCAATCCAGCTAGTTATTACTTTTATAACCTTTAGGGTTTAATTTTTATTTTTTAATAAATTAAAAAATAAAATATAAAATCACATTTATTTTATTATAAACTTCAAGGATTTAATTCATGATTAATTGTAATTTTTTATCATCAAATAAAATAAGATAAAAATTAAATAAGATAAAACAACAAAATAAGAAATATAAGTTAAAACAAAGAAATAAAATTAAATAAGAGGAAAAGGAAAACAAGAAAAATAGAACATGATTAAACAACTGAAAATTAAATAAGATCAAATAAAAAAATAACAATTTTATTGAGAATTGTCTTTTTTTTTTTTCATTGACTGCTTATGAGAAACAGGCTATCCAAGCTTGAGATCTAGCAACTATGATCAAAGACTATGACCTGTAATTAAAAGGAATGTTGTAAATCTTGTATTTAAGATATTTACATGAGCATTAGCCAAGACGCTGAGGTAATGCTAGCATGCAATAACCACATAATAATGGCATGTAAAGAGCATTAACTTGACATAAGAATCTGACCTCAGTGTCTGACCCATCGTTTAGAGGTTTGACCAGATGGCAAGGCACTGACCAGCAGTTTCCCACACAAATTAGAGCCATTATCTAAAATTAGCCTCCACCTTGCATCGCCTTCCAACTACCATTAACTTTCCTTGCTATCTTCTCTTTAATGGAGGCAAGCACACGTTCAGTAGTTGAAACTTTAACTATAGAAGGTACAATAATACAATGGAAACGGCAAGTTGTAGATAAGCTAGAGCTGGTAAAGGAAACACAGATGTTTACTGTGGGAAATGTGCTAGCAATGGGCAGGCTAAATATGTGATCATTTCAAGAGCAATTACAAATCAAGGGAACAATCCATCTGACTAACTGAGCAAATGGAGCAATTAGTCTCTAAAACTGAAATCAGTCTCTATGGATGTGCATCACTGTCATGCATCCATCCAATTTATCCATAAAGACTTAATACAATCAGCCAGACCAATTCACCAGCCGCTATCCGGATATTTTTCTGTCAGCTTCCAAAATCTATAGTGACAGCATTGACAAAGGATGAGAATAAACATGAAGAAATACTAATACAAAAACAGGGTTTCTACAGGTTTTATGATGGTAAATTGAAGACTTTTAAGACCATTTTAGACCAAGTCAAGAAAGTTTAAGTACCAAATTGAAGGCAACACAATATGTCAATATCTTCTCTAAATCTAAGGGTGCTTTCACACCTGGCCTGTTGTTTCGGAACCTGGCGCGTTTCCCCCCTTAGCTCGGTTCGTTTGGGCATATGTGAACACGGCAATCGCGCCCGGATCCGCGCAAAAACAATCGGTCCAAGATCGCCTGAACGAGGTGGTTTCAGCTCGATTGAAAACGAACTCTGGAGCGGTTCGGTTGTAGTGAGAAAGCAATCCGATCTAACGGACCAACGAACCAGGCTATATCACAATGTATAATGGGTAATTACGTAAGTTCCGTGAAAAGCATTAACTTTGTTGTTTTGCTAATACTTCAAAATGAACCTGTGAATGTCTGTGGGTGAGCACGTCTTCACCATTCTAAGTAAAAAAGCGCACTTTTTCATTTTATAATGCCATCTTATTGCTCTTCTTCCTAGTAGGTACAGTTTAAAAATGTTTTCCCGATGAACCCTGGACTCCTGCTCAAAATGATAAATTAATATAAGGACAGCTACAAAAAAAAAAAAAAAAAAAAAAAAAAAACCCATTTAGCTTTTAAAAGAACCTGGCGCGTTTCCCCCCTTAGCTCGGTTCGTTTGGGCATATGTGAACACGGCAATCGCGCCCGGATCCGCGCAAAAACAATCGGTCCAAGATCGCCTGAACGAGGTGGTTTCAGCTCGATTGAAAACGAACTCTGGAGCAGTTCGGTTGTAGTGAGAAAGCAATCCGATCCAACGGACCAACGAACCAGGCTATATCACAATTTATGAAGGGTAATTACTTAAGTTCCGTGAAAAGCATTTGCTTTGTTGTTTTGCTAATACCTCAAAATGAAACAGTGAATGCCTGTGGGTGAGCACGTCTTTGCCATTCAAAAATTAAAGCGCACTTTTTTGTTTTATAATGCGGTCTTATTGCTCTTCTTTGTAGTAGGTGCATTTTAAAAATGTTTTGCCAATCAATCCTGGACTCCTGCTCAAAATGATAAATTATTATTAACGACAGCTACAAAAAACAACAACAATAAGCCCGCAAAGCTGTTGTCCTTCCATCCTGACAGATGACAGCTGTGACAGCTAAGTGGAATCCCGGAAAATAAAACGTGGAACTTTGACCAATGAGAGGACAGTTTACTCGCGCGTGACTTGTATTAACAAATTTGGTCCTTTAGAAACTTTGCCGTTTGAAAGCGAGCCGCACCAAGAATAAAAAGCAACATTGAAATAATTTTAATCTCTGTTTCGGAACAAAGCAATCGATCTACAGGTGTGAAAGCACCCTAAATGTCTAGGGAAAAGACAATGAGCAGCACACTTCAAAATTTTAAAACACAGTTTCTAAACAATCTCTATTACTTTTTAACTCATTTAACAAAAATAAATACCTCTGCTCCCAACCACCAGAATATGAAAATAACTTTTATTGTGCCTTCTGATCACACAGCAAAAAAGTGATGTTCCTAAGTATCCTAGTTCCTAGTGCAAATGTCTAAAGATTCTTAAATTAAGATACATTTAGTTGAGAAGCAAAATGACATAAGATAAGAAGTCTTGTTTTCTGAGTAGTGACTTTATGACTAAAAAACAAGAATCACAAGTAAATGCAGCTTGATTTAAAGCTGCAGTCCATAACTTTTTTGGTTAAAAATGATCCGAAATATGTGCTTCTGATTACAGATAGCCTGGGATTACAAAGATTTGTATTTTAAAGACAGCCAGTTCGAAGGGAGCATAATTTGCTTTTTAGGTTAAAATAATTTCTTAGTATGAAATTCGAATGGTATGACAATTAGATTAGACTGCAGAAATTGAAATCTACTCGCTTATAC